TTTATTTGTTTATTTATTTTTTATTTTTGGCTGAACCAGGGATTGAACTCAGGCCCTTTTGCTTGCCAGGGAAGCACTTATTCCACTGAGTCATCTTCCCAGCCCCTCATATTTTAATCTTGTTTGTTTATTTTTTTAATTTTTAGGGGCTGTGGAGATAGCTCAGTAGAATAAGTGTTTGCCTGGCAAGTACAAGGACCTGAGTTCAATCCTCGGTTCTGCAAAAATAAATAAATTTTCATTTTATTTATTTATTTATTTATTTATTTATTTATTTATTTATTTTCGTGGAGCCAGAGATTGAAGCCAGGCCCTTGTGCTTGCCAGGCAAGCGCTTATTCAACTGAACTATCTCCCTAGCTCCCATTTTTATTCTTTTTGATACAGGGTCGGTTCAGACTTGCAGTGACCCTCCTGTCTCAGCCACCCCAGCACTGGGATTAGAGGAGTGCATCAGCACGCCCGCTTTCCATGGCTGGTGAGGTGCACCCAGGATTCTAGGGCTGGCGTGGCATGTAATACTAGGAATTGAACTTGGGACCTTGCATTGCCAGGCAGGCGCTCAGACCATCAAGCTGTCTCCCCAGCCTATTCTATTTTAATTTTAAAATGTGTTCAGGGGGCCAGCGAGATGGCCCAGTGGAATAAGCACTTGCCTGGCAAGCTCAAGGGCCTGAGTTCAATCCCCGGTTCTGCAAAAAAAAAAAAAGAAAATGTGTTCAACTGCTACATGTGGTGGGACAAACTGATAATCTCAGCACTTGGGAGGCTGAGGCAGGAAGAGCACCTTGTTCAAGGCCAGCCTAAACTACATGGGGAGACCCTGTTCCAGAAAAAGAAGAAGAAAACCTTTTTTTTTTTCTTTTTTTCAAGGGACAGACTGAGCTCCCCAACCGTCTCCTCTCCAAACCTGCAGGCACCTCTCCTTCCTGCTTGTCTGTTCTGCTTCTGGTCTCCTAGCAACGCTGCCCCCTGCACCCACCCAGGCCCCAGTTCAGAGTCAGGGTCCTCTCCCCACTGCAGCCATGCAGTGGTCTAACGGAAAATCCCAGCCCCTGAGTCTGGAGGCCGGCACCCAGTATGAGCACTGGCCGAGGGCTGCCTGCAGGCCGGGCGCCGGCTCTGCCGCTCTTTAGGCAAAAACATCTGAGCCCACGCTATCTTCTTCCCCAGTACTGGAGATGGATCCCAGAGGCTTCCCCTGAGCTGCATCCGGGCCCTTTTTCTTTTCTGCTTGGGGACAAAGCTGCTCTGTTCCCCCAGCAGGCTGAGACTCATGACCCTCCACCTCAGCCTGCTGCAGTGGTGGGATTATGGCAGCCCACCCCCACCACCCGGGCCTGGAAAATTATCTCAGGAAGGAGCCGAGAGAACAGAGGAACTAAACAGAGACTCAGGAGAGAAAAGGCTGCGCTTTCTGAAGCTCGGATCTGAGAAGCCGCTCGCAGGTGGAGAACAGGCTCCAAATTCAGGAAGGGCACACGCAGTGAATCTCCAAGCCTCTCGCAGAGGTTTATGCAGATTTTCCCTTATCAGACGACGCACGTGCATTTGCTGGAGTAGCAATATTTTTTCCAATATCAGTGTTTTCTGTTGGAAAAAGATAGCTGTATGTGGGTGGCTCCCGGCTGAAGTAGCACATTGCATAAACCCACATCCTAGCACTAAGGAGGGGCAGAATTTAGAACCAGGGACTGAACTCAGGCCCTTGGGCTTGTCAGGCAGGCGCTTATTCTACTGAGCCGTCTCCCCGGCCCCTTGTTTTTGTTTTTTATTTTTATTTTATTTTTTTTTAAATTTTATGTGTGTGTGTGTGTGTGTGTGTGTGTGTGTCCAGCTCAGCCCACCAG